ATTAATGAGGAAAAAAAATTAACTTAAATGATTTTAGCAAATGGCTGCAATATAACAAAGAGTGAAAAATTTAAGCGGGTCTGAATACTTTCCGTACCCACTGTAATTTCCACAGAACCATTTTAAGTAAATGATTGTGTTTAACAGGTGGCATTAAGAAGTTTTGTCTGAAAAAATGTTTTAATGAAGAAAAGTTAAAAATACAATGTCAAGATTTCCCACACACTGACAAATTTGGTGCTGTCCAGGGTCCTGGAATCAATTTGATACCATTGCAGGGTACTATATTGCTGGCCTCCTAAACCACACAGGCCGGTCTGATGGCAAATTTTAGAAGGGTTTGGGTTATTTTGTCAGCTGGTCAGACAGTAACGCAAGTTACGTAATCAGATTACTTTTTTCAAGTAACTAGTAAAGTAACGCATTACTTTTTATAAAAAGTAACTAAGTAACGTAATTAGTTACTTTTTTCTGGAGTAATGCAATATTGTAATGCATTACTTTTAAAAGTAACTTTCCCCAACACTGATTGCAGGTAGATGTACCCAAACTCTTCAGGATACGCTTCACTTTATAAAACTTTACAAACACAGTGATGTGTACTGCAGAATGATAATTGTCTTTTATTAAATAAATAGCAGCTTCACAAAATTATACCATTGTGAGGATGATGGTTTGTTTGTTTGTTTTTTTAACAAAAAATGGATTTGGTAAAACATTCACAGGCTATGGTATAAAAATGAGAGTTTGAACAAGGGAAGGTGATACAGGAGAAATTCTAGAGTCTACACAGAAAACAGCAAGAATTTACAGCTTTATACATCATAGGTTCCTAGACATCCTCAAATTAACATTTTTGGTCTTACAGACCAACATTTGTTGCCATGGACAGTTCGTCCATATAAAGTAAATGGTTTTAGTACTCTTGTCTGTTGTGCAATTTTGCTTCTTCTCTCACTCTGTCATGACCACCTGATTCCCAACCTTACATTCACAGGAGAGCATGTTCCCCAGAGCTAGAGGTTAATTCCTTCAATACCTGTTGAAAAAAAAAAATCCTTGAGAAGCGGTTTGGACTTGACCAAAACTCATACCGCATTTGTTATGTCTTAGCATAAGTTTTATGTTAAGTATGACCTTCACACCATTGTTCTGTTTGGTCCAGTTTTCTAGGTCACTTTAAAAAGTGGTTTGAAGAAAACTGTTGTTCTGCAGTCATTTCCTCCAGCAAATAAGATGCAACCTCTAACTGTGTTACTGGATTACTGCAACTCAAAAGATTCATCATATCATATTGGAGATGTTTACAAGTTACACAAACAATGATCTGACTTGCAAGTGTATTAAGCAGCATAGCTTCATCCATATTGTAATGCAACTAGCTTGGATGACACAGTAACTCTTTTTTTGGCTTTACATTTTTTTTGTTGTTGTAATTATTCAACTGACCACAAGAGGATGCTATGACTCTATCTGTCGAATATTTGCGTGAACTGCAGTCTCCTATGCTGCTTTAGTAAGAGACTGGGTGCTCATGCAGGACTTAATGGCATTCAAAAATCTGAACCTGTTAACACAAACACACAATCACACACATTACATTCCCTCTCCCTTTTCTGACCTTGGTCAGATTATTGTTTCTGTAGCTAACTCAGCATACATTCTATGCTGTGATACAGCTGAGGTTGCGTAGACAGTCGACATCTCCTAAACATCACGTGTAGCTCGGTCCTGTTTTCCATGTCACACTAAAAGCTAGTTTTCAGACACTGCTGGTGTGTTCTGTGTGGCTGTGACCGCTGCTGATAGACAGCTCTGATATTCCCGGTTTCAGCTCCAGTCCGGGGTCAATGTCCATGTCGTGGGGCTCCAGATTTCGGATTCCATTGCCGTCCCCATTCCGGCAGTTACTGTTCCGGTCAATGGAAACTTTTTCGCAGATCAGGATGGGTGTGACTACCGCATGGGATGGACAAGGAGCGTTTATAGTGATGGGTTTAAGACCCACCTGACTATACTGGCAGTGCATGTAACTTGAAAATGCCCTTCGGTAGGTCTTGTTAAACAAAGTGTACACTAAAGGATTGACCCCTGATGAGATGTAGCCCACCCAAACGAAAACATTGAGCAGTTCTGTTAGCACAGGCTCATTACAGGCTTTATGGCAGAGGACATACAGAACGTTAGTGATGAAAAAGGGACACCACATGATGAGGAAGAGGAAGAACACTACACCCAACACTTTGGATGCTCGCCGCTCGTTCTTGATGGCCTGCATCATGCCTCGCCGCCCATGGGTTCCGGCTGGGTCCCGTCCAGCGGGCGAATTCATCTGAGATGGGGCTTCTGAACTTGGGATTATTGAGATGGTGTCTGGGGGCACGGTCAGTCCGAGCATGTTTCCATCGCTGTTGCTGATCTGTAGACAGTTCAGGCTGCTGCGACGGGATGCCGGCGGTGGGGCCAACTGGGAAGTAGGTGGAACTGGAGGTTGCAAAGGCTGTTGAGAAGAGGCTTTGCCCTCGTAGAGGAAGACTGTGGCCTGACGCTGAAGCGCTTGGACGGTGAGACAATACGTGACCACCATGATGACCAGAGGAATGAAGAAGGCAACAAAAGAACCAACCAGTATGAAGTGTTCCTCATTCAGAGCACAGTTGCCATTTTTCAAGACCTTTTCTCTGTTATGGAGTCCGATCACTGGGATAGGCATTGAGATACCTGTGGTTGGAAGAAGTAAGAGAATATCAAACAAATATATATAAACAAACATCAAAGAAACAGTCAGACTAGCAAATGAGAAAGGCAACTGGAATGCAAGATGCTGGAGACAAAAGACCAACGGCTTCAGCGAATCGTGCTCAGAGATCTATCCTCAAGACAAATCCTTTCTCTTATCCAGCTAAATCAGTATTCCTGATGGTTGAGAGAGAGGATCTTTTATTTAATTAGAGCAGATGAATGAGAGTGTCAAGGCAGATAGAGCCTTAATGCTGCTTTGAATCCAGATAAGAATCAAATAAACATTAGGCTCACGTTTAAACGGGAGAGAGGTTAGATGTGTGAACCCTCTGCCATCTGCACTGACATTACCAAGTCTAACTAATATTAGCAAATGAGACATGAAACCCCTGTTGAGAAAAGCGATGAATAGGAGACAAAGAGAGAGATAATAGGGGGATACATAGAACAGTGTTGTTTCATTATTATGAAAAATAGCACAAAGTTACTAAAATGTAAATGAACACTGAAAATAGAAAAATAAAAGCACACTCAACAATACAAAGGAAAGGAAAGCCTGTGTGGGTGAGAGAAAGAGAGACACCATGTCTGAGAGAGTGTGTGTAGGCTTGCATTAATAAAAAGCAGGGTGAGAAGAGTTTTATCTTTTCTAGAAAGTTTAACGAGAGGCAGGGATGGAGAGTGAAAGCTAGAGGGTCTTTCTATACTTAAACACAACTACCAGTGATATCACTGCAAACAAGTTTTTTTTTTTTTTTTTTAACTCTGTTGTTGTAACAGATCAGTCATGGTCACTCTACATCAGGGGTGCCCAACCCTGTTCCTGGAGATCTACCATCCTGCAAAGTTCAGCTCCACCATCCTGCAAAGTTCAGCTCCAACCCTGATCAAACTCACCTGAACCAGTTAGTTAATCTCTTAGGTAGCACTTGATAATTACAGACAGCTGTGCTGGAGCAGGGCTGGAACTGAAGTCTGCAGGTAGGCAGATCTCCAGGAACAGGGTTGGGCACCCCTGCTCTACATTATATGTCACAAGTCAGACTCTAGATGGCGCTAATGCAGTAGAATGCCAAACTTTACTTTATTGAACAGTAGGTGGTGATCTTCACTAGAAGTATCTGATTACCAAACCAATCACAAACATTCAGTTAATCCAAGCTTCACTGAATTTCGAGGCGCCGATCTGGGTGATGGAGAAAATCACCACAATCACCAAAACTGGTGCTTGTTTATACAATGTCATTTCAAATCATTTTCATTGTTGCTCATCTGAGGGGCCTCTTAGACCCAGCTGGAGCCTTGAGAAAACCTCACAACACAATCAGCCATTCTGAGGGGCCGTATGAGATACAAACACATTCCAGTAATAGATTCAACAGGATTGCAGTGGACTGACATTGCCTTTAGTAAGTACAAGTGGTACAACTGTTCAATCTAAAGACCTCCACTGACACTGAAAAATAATTGTGTGTGTCTGTCCTTTTTTTCTGCAGGTTTTTCTGGCATTTCCTCTACTGGTTATTTGGGATTGATGTACAGTTCAATACATTTTTTTAACATGTTGTTGTAAGAAATAATGCATTTTATTCAATTTCATCATATCAATGTTTCTCTGACCTATTGAAATAGTCCAAACTGCAGCGATCTTCAGCATGGCCTTGGTGCGGGAGTTGAACCGACTGTGCTCGATTGGATTGCGTATGGCCACGTAGCGGTCGAGGGAAATGGCACACAGGTGCATGATGGAAGCAGTAGAGAAAAGCACATCCAGATATATCCAAATAGGACAAAGAGCACTTGGCAATGGCCAGGCATAATCTGGAAGACAGAGAGAGATTGCTTTGTAAACACCCTTTATGAGACGGTCATACACATGAAGAATGATGCTGAGAAAGAAAGAAAGAAAGGATATATAAGAGAAACAGAAGGCAAAGTGGTCTTTCAGGTCACATTATAAAAGTCCAGATGACTGTCTTCAGACCAAGAGCTAAAAAAGGCTGTTATGGCAGCAAGCTTAAAATAACCAACATTAAGAAACAGTCAGGTTATGTAAAAAGTAAGTCATTTAAGTTGTGTAGGCTCATGGATGAGAGTGAGAGATACAAAGTCACACTGGGTCTGTCTTTGAGATAATATCAAAATTATAATACAGATAGTTCTGGTCTTGGTTTCTAATTTGTCAATGCATTGCTCCAGTCATGCTAAAATCCTTGAAATAGCAAAATGTATGATGTTTAACACCCGTTCGCCACAATATTTGTCTAAACCAATGTTTTAATAAAAATGTGTCTTTAATACATACTAAAACCATTTTTTAGTGGTTTGGTGTGCAAAAGATTTTAGGATGGTCACCATCAAGATGTTAGGATGTAGTGGGTTGCCACAACATGGAAGAACCATTTTGGGCTCCCCAAAAAACCTTTGAGCAATCAGTTCTTAAAAAACAATGTAAGAACTTTTCTCCATTATAACAAACCTTTGGCTGAATGGAAAGGTTTGTTAAAGGGTTAGTTCACCCAAAAATGTGAAATTTTTGTGAAAAAATTTCTGTCATTAATACTCACCCTCATGTCGTTCCAAACCCACAAGACCTCCGTTCATCTTCGGAACACAAATTAAAGGGTTAGTTCATCCAAAAATGAAAATTAGCCCATAAATTACTCACCCTCAAGTCATCCTAGGTGTATATGACTCTCTTCTTTCAGACGAATCCAGTCGGAGTTATATTAAAAATTGTCTTTGATCTTTCAAGCTGTTTCATGGCACTCATGATGCATGCAATGGGTGTTGCATGCATCAGTTCAAAAGCAGTTAAATAAAATGCGCCCATCCATAAAAAAAAAAAGTGTCTCACATGGCTCCGGGGGGGGGAACAAAGGCCTTCTGTA